GTGCTCAGCGAAATTACTTATTTGTTTCAGGATGAAAAACCGATACTGAATAGAGGACTGAGAATTGAGGGAATATTCTGTCGAATATGTCGCTGCAATCAAACGAAACAACGAGAACTGCGTGAAGGTCAAAGGTCCATTCGAAGTGCTTTATTTTTCGTTTGAAACGTTAATATGAAATGGTACTTTCATTAGTTGACAATTCGAATTCAAGTTCAGCTAAGTGATTCTGAGTAACAATATTCGCCAGAAAAATGCTTTTGCCTTACAAGCGAACAATGTCATAAGGTATATATTGCCGTACTCAGTTGTGTGATGATGAAATTGTTGAAACCTTTTTAAATGGTTTTACTGCATCATTCTCATGAATCTGTTTTCGAATGTATATTTGCATATTGCTCACTGGAACAAACGTGTCATTTTATTGTTTTCTTTTATTTCTGTATCATATTGAATGTAGTTTTGTGCTGATTGTTTCAAAATCCGTCAAATAAATGATTATATGACCAATCGAATTTTTAGTTTTTCTTTTTTCGTTGTAATTTTTGGACAGAATGACCTTATGAGGTGCATAAATACTCATGCATTAACGGCAGAAGTTGCTACACTTTCAACCCGATTTCATCCATGCGTTGCAGCTATCTTCTGCTTTTTGCTCACAAAAAAATGTTTGTATGAATAATTTTGGTATTGCGATTCAGAGTGATTCTGTTCTTGTGATGAAGTATGCGAGTCATTTTTTAGCACTTCAAAAATCATCTTAGGTTTTATCAGTAATTCCCATGAGTAATACTGCAATCTCCACAAACGAAATTCGCGGCTTTCACACGAGTTTCATTATCAACAGTTAATTACTTCTGTTCAGTGTACTTCGAGTTGCTGAAAGTACCATGGTTCAGCTCTCTGAAACTCATTTTCATTTCTTGGTAACCACATAATCGATCGTAGTATGACAATCTTACTGAAGGGGTACTCCTCAATCATGACTGACGCCCTTTTAGGAGCAATGATAATTGGGAGGTTGATTTGTTTGGTTTATATCCGGAGAGTTTCTCATCTGGAAACGCCTTTAAAGTCGTATGTGCAATCGAGAAATTTCGGTGAACTAACAAAGCATAATTTGAAGTATAAAAGTTATCTCAATTATGAGAGGGGAATGTTGTTAAAATCCAATGCTAGTAGTTCAGTTTTGAGGAATGAAACATGAAATTGGTTTTTCGAATGATTTTGAGCGTAAAATGAACAACAAATAAGGATGTTGTTGTTTTTTTGGTGGAATTTTTTGACATATTAATGTAGGTTTCTGAATAAATGCAATCAGTTTATCCAGCTGAGCTCTTATAGATGTAATGTAAGTACAAATTTACATTGCTTAATGCTTCGTGCAACTATGATATAATACATAAAGGCGTACAGTATATTCTGTACGCTTTTATGTCTTATATCATGGTTCCACGGATTCAAGAATTCAACGACAAGAAGAGAGTCGAAACTGTTCTGTTCTATTTTTTAGAATAGAATAGGAACAGAATAACTTGACTGGAATAGAAACATCACTAGTCGATAGTAAAGTAATTCTCTTGCTAGAAAAGCGGGTGAAAACAGACAATGAATTGGGGAAGGCGAAGCGTTCATCGTTGAAGGAGTTTCCTTTGAGTGTTTTAAAATGGAGCACATTAGAGCATCATCTGCATTAGAAATTATAATGCAGCATAATATGTCGATGGAAATTGCCAATCGGATAATAAACCAAACATCGAATCATGCATATACGCCAGTGGTCATCAAGCTTCGCTTAGCTTTATTGGTGATTCGATGCAGCAGTATTCAACAATATAATCATATTTACAGTTGTCAAAGTAAACGTTACCTCAGTGCAACACTTCAAGAATTCACGAACAAAAAGAAGAAACGGGCCTGTGAGAAATATGCAACACTTCTTTAATTCAGCTGTTTAGTCAGAAAATCAATTTTGTAATGATAAACCATCCTGAGACTAAAGCATAAGTCATTCTTCCGCCTGCACTTGCTTTGCATATTCAAAACGACCAGTTTGATTGTACGATTCGAACGTCTCTCATTCGAAAAGCATTTATGAAGATTTTTGACATAATCAAATGCACGTCATATTTCCCTCAATTGTTGGTTGAAGGCGTTGTCCAATTCCTCCAAACACCTACTTCTATAATTATCGATTCTATTTTCACGAAACATACATATGCTTAAATTGTTCGCCTAACCGCACTTGTTCAACGTTGGTTCCCTAAAGACGGTCGATGCGTTTCTCCAATACTTTTCAAACAAATCATGCCTTCAACATTCCAAATATCGGCTAGTGATTTGTGCTGCTTCCTCGTATTTCTCTCATCTCATCATGTTTTACACTTAAATATATCTGTTTCTCATACCCTCATTTGTACTTAATCGCTTCTCCACTATATGCATCCTACATTTCAAATATCAATCCTTAACCACTGATTGTGCCTATCACATGTAACTCACTAATTTTTATTTCAGACATGATGCTTCGTTATGTGGGTCATCTCATTATGACAACTTTATGCATTTAAAATTTACTTCTTCATAGCGATGTTCAATTATCTTCTGCTCACATTCGTACAAATTTGTTGCTTATCAAATGCGTTTAAATTCGGTACGATACATTTTTGATTATTTCCATGATGAAACAGCGTCAGTTGTCATCAGTCAGTGATGAAAGTATTACGGATTTGTCCTAATCAAAGTGGCTCACATTATGAGCGTCACATATTTTCTCCTCTCTTTGCTTATGCCAAATCATAACGAAGCTAAGCTATTGGACGAATGTTCGGTGTGTCTACGACGATTAACGTCTACAAAAGTGCACCAAAAACATCTTAATAAATCCTCATCAGTCGTTCAAAACGATTGCACTGAATGCGAAAAGTAAACAGCAACGGATATTTATACAATAACGAATTTAAAAATTGAAATTAAACGACTCAATTGATTGCGCGCATATTCGTTATTGTTTAATCATCATCCTGTAGAATGCATAGAGAAATGTTGCAAAACCATCTTTTTATCTGTGCTAATGCATCGAAGAAATAAAGTTGAACTTATATACTTCAAATCAATCAAATAATGCTGAATTCGTCGTTTGGAAATTAATTCTGAATGTTCAGGTGCTGTGTTAGACGAGAAAAGTGATGCACATCTCGTATTAGCAATGGACTACGCTGTCGATTGGCTCAATGCTCATGAAAGTCAACAGCAACATATTGAATATCAAATCGAGTTTGTTCGTTCTGACGACTATTTCGATGCAGTTACATCAGGTTTCTCGAACTCGCTCTTAAATAAATCTTCGACTATTTCCACGTCAATGAGTCATAATCGATTGAATATTGTCGCTGCTTGCGCGGAAAGCCGGCATAATAGATGGTGTGAATTGAGTGAAGAGAGTGTGTGAACAGATTTGAAATTAGCGTGCAATGGGCCAGTGTAATGTGGTGTTGCAGGAAACGGAAAAAAGTTGGGCATGAAATTTCGCAGTCGGAGACCACGAGAATGTGTTCGGCTCCAAAATAAAGTCGGAGACGGGGAATTTTGGGGAAAAAACTCAATCTCGCCTCAGTTTCCTTCTCCGATTTCCGAGTTTTCGTCGAAAGCGGAATTTTTGAACTGTAATCAGTAGGATCTTCAAAACGGAAATTTTTGGTGCACAAGAATTGAAACAAGCAATCTCTAAGATAGATCAGAGATAACTGTGAAGCCACTATGCACTTTTGACAACAACATTTTATTCAACAATCACGTCAAAAAATAAACAAATACACTTCATCTTAGAGATTGCTTGTTTTGATATTTTAACCGCTTTCCGTTCCCTCTGGCAAATGATATTTTAACGCCACGCTGCTTCTGATCAAATCTTACTCTGTTGAGCCGTTGCAGCGTAGACATCATCGCAGTTACATTATCCGCCAACAACAAACTGTTAAATAACATAATCACGGCATCTCGAAGAGTTCAACTGAAGGATTCGCATATGGGGCCCAGGCAGTGCATGAAATGATGCTCAAAATCTTCTTGATAGAAAGTGTTCAGTTGAATTTTGCTAAGAAAAATAGAAAGTGTTCAAGAAATGTAAAAATAGAGGGAAAATGAAGAGGGCTCAGTTTCGACAAGTGTAATATCAATCAAAGATGTGCATCAAACGGCTATTTTCACTTGGTGAAATTGTCCGAAAACAGTTTTCAATCTTTGGAAAAGTTCTCGAATAGATTTCTAGAAGGTAGAATTTTCGGAACAAAAAAGCATCAATTGACGTAAAATTTCAGTGTGTCGTTTGTTAGAACACGAGAAAGTGGTTGCTTTATTCGGCTCTTCTAACATGTTGCTCAATGATCATATCGAGAGGTTGGCTAATCAGGTACCTTCAATAATGCCTACTCTTTTATGACAGGTACTGGAAAACTGCAAACATCCGAAACGGTTCATTGAAGACAGTGAACAACACACTATAAAATGTATCATCTTCTGTTTCATTTAGACTGTCCTACAATGGAATTTCGTAAGAGCTGCGTTATCGAAAAAACAGCTGGTATTTTTCATTAATCACTTGATGTCAGCGATCAAGATGAGAATGTTATTTCAAGGTTCAAATACCCTTCTTTAACGTTGCTGATGATGTGCGCAGCTCAGATTCAACCAAAACTTCGCCAGCAAAAATCGATCTCTTTCCTGGTGCATACCTTCTCAAGGCTA